ATATTGGACGTTTTGGACATATTAAAAACATCCAGATTAGATCTAGAATATTTTAAAGACTTTAAGTGTTACCATTTTGGTAACACTTCTTAAAAACGTCCATGTTAGGTCGCAATGGACTAAAACTGGACTAAATTGTTTATGTATTATAAACTAATTTTGTGCGAGAGCGAACCAGAGCGAGAGCGCTGATCGTGAAATTTTTAAAGTGATGCGGCGTTTGTCTTACTGTCTTTCTCGCTAGTTTAAATCCGGCTCGAAGGACCAGAAAATGTGCGAGAATGCACCGCGCGGAAAGATTCGAGTGAGAGAACGGCACAAGGTTGATATGATGCACGACAGTAAAGAGAACTCCGTTTCTTTCAATTGAACAAAAGAATTTTCTTTAATATAATCAGTTACAGAGTCAAAGAATATAATTAATTAAAAATTAGATTAACAAAATATCAAATGCGGTCACCTTTTCCAAAATTGTATTTGGAATCGCGGTGATGGAAAATCTCGGCGATTTTCTCGGAAAGAGTCTTATCGCGATTTCACTAAGCGGTTAGCGCGGCGATTTAACGAAGCGGTATAGTAGCGAGACTATGATTCTAAGAACTCGAAGAACTTTTAGAAATAAGAACTCTAAGAAGTCTAAGAATTCTAAGCGGTGTAGACGGTTTAAGCGGTGTAAACTATGTAAGCAATCTGCGCAATCTGCTCAATCTGCCCTGAGGACCGGCGAGATCGAAGCATTTATTGTTTCCGGTCCGGGCTTTCTTCTTGGGAGAAATCCAATTAAATTTAGCCACAATCGTAATTATCACGTGGCATTGGTTGTACAAAATTGATTGGCGCTTTCGATTCTTTTCTAGCGACGTTCAACGTAACAGTCATGCGCGACAGAAAATCCGTACGCGGGATTGGTGACAGCGCGTGACGTATTCGTCGGAGCGCGGCGCTCGCGTGCGCGAATCGAATTGTTCTAGAACTTTCGATGTTCCGTTGCCGGTGCCTGTTTGCGTGTACCGAATTGTTTTGAAAAGACTAAAGATGTTTAATATATTAAACAAATTTTAGACCACAATCAAGACCAAATGATTCTTATATGAGTATTATTATTGATTAATATCTTATTCCAGAATACACATTATAAAATTATAATAAATAAAAGAAAACGTTTTTCCCTGAATTCGGGAAACTAATTTTATAATGCTTCGAAATGGTCACCCATTCAGTTGCATACCGCCATTCACTATGCTTTGACTTCGTATGGAAACCGTTGCACTTCGATAATTCACGAATACCTATACAATCATGAATGTATAGTTATGATACATCTGTTCAATATGGTTCTGATTGAAATTTGTGCAGTTCAACTGAACATCCAGTCAGTTACTGTCTAATATTTAATCTTTATGTTATAACGATTATTTTTAGAAAATCATATACCGTATCAGTTTCACAGTACCAATTATCATGTACATCGTCTTCGACTAGATATCTCCACAGTCTCTCTCCTGTCGATAATAGTACATCGTATTGATACGGTGCGGGTTATGTATCATGATGTATCAATATGCAGTATAGATTCTTTTTGTCATTGAAAATTTCCAACACAGCACTGATGTCCTAGAGACATCTATGGGACGTTCAAAAAGCGTCCGTACATACTAACAAAAGTGAAACTCCTCGTGCGATCTTAAAAAAATTTTTACTTGTCAAGTCAGCGAAAGCAACACGTCGTAAACAGATTTAGAAAATTTTTTGCATGAGATGAACATTTTTAAATGTTCAAATGTGAACATACTTTGTACATCGAATAACGTATGTTTTTAAAACTTTGTACTAAATCCGTAGACGTTCGGATAAACTATTAGGTGTTGGAATTAATTCGTAGCGTTTTACAAGTGATGGGAAGTACTTTCATTAATGTATTTTTTAATGCTCATGTGAAATAAATAACATTCTTTCATTAAAAAACGCTACGAATTAATTCCAACACCTAATAAATAAAAATCAGATTTGGACATCCAATGACTTTGTGTGCTGTCTGGATAATACTTCCCTAAATTAAATAAGAAACTTTTATTGCGAAAAATATTACAGTATAATTAGTGTTAGTTTAAAAAATATAAATATAAAGTTTTAAAGAATATATTATACATAAAGGTTAATGAGAAATCAGAATAATAAAAAAGGAGTGTTACGTCCAAGCCCCGAAATTTCAAGCTAATACGGAAGCCCACAACAATTGGAAGTCCAAGGGATATCCTTAGATATTCTCATTCGATATGCATGGATATCTCAAGGATGTACCAAAATTGTCCCGATGACATCCGGTAGACGTAGTTTACATACGTACAAAACATCGCCGTTTACGTCCAATGAACGTTCGTAATACATTCATAGTACATCCTAGTACACCTAGTACATTATGAGAACGTCTTTAATACATTTATATAAATAACATTTTTTACTAAAAGTTCTAAATTGCGACCTTATTACATCCTATCTAATGTAGCGACCAATATATGAACAACAAAGATATTAAATAAGTGATAAGTTAAATTATTTAATAATCAAGAGAATAATACACCCGAAGAGCATACTCTCCCCCGTAACTATAAACTTAACTTATTTTTCAATATCTCCCTTCGTGTGGAAAATTGGAATCTTTTGTGTTGCACTTTGCATGAGAATTTATAAATCCAACGCGTCGAATAGAAGCCTAATTTCAAATCAGTTTTTTCAAATATGATGACTAAGATATTAAATATACGTTTATTATGTATAGGATCTTTTTTGTTAATATCACAAGTTTTATTTTTTGTCTGACACTTTTTTTGTACAATAAATATTTTAGAGAATATTAATGAAAAATGAGTTCTTACATAATTCAAAAATGGCAGCCTAAATATGTTCGATCGTCAAAAAATTCTTTCAGTATTTAACGATAAAACATATTGCAAAATTAGTTTCAAAGTTTCGAAGAATACGAGAAAGAATTAACATAAAAGTTTATCAAAATTATTAAATTGCTCAAATAATATTATTACTATTATTGCGTTTCAAAAAGATTTCGAAACGCGCGGTTTACAAAATCAGATATGTGTCAGATATGTAAATTTACACAAAAATATTTAAGCATATCTACTTTTACCTAATACAAGATTTCTCTTATTTAGTTAGATTTATTCTCATCCGTTCAAATTCATATCACAATTGTTTAGAATGAAATTTAGATTTTAGACATACACAGTGCGACAAATATGTTCTCGGATAGGGCCTGAAAATCATAATTGAAACAACAATATGCATATTTTTTGGTTTTATTCAAAATATTCTCCTCTGGCTTCAATACACTTGTTACAGCGATTCAATAGTGATTCAAATGCATGTTCTAGCTCAGTTTGCGAAATTGCCTCTAGTGTCCGTGTAGAAGCTGATTGGATGGTCGGAATGTCATCGAAAAAGCGTCCTTTCAATTTAAATTTTAATTTTGGGAATAATGAGAAGTCGCAGGAGGTCAAATCAGGTGAATACAGTGGATGGTTTAACACAGAGACACGATTTCGAGCCAAACATTGACGGACAATCAATGAAGTGTGACTCGGTGCATTATCATGCAACAAAGACCAATTTTCTGGATCACGATATTCGGGGCGAATACGATGAATTCTGCCCATCATTCGCTTTAAAAAAACTTCGAGAGAATATGCACCAGTAATTGTTTGGCCAGTTGGAACAAACTCTTTGTGGATAATACCTTTGCTATCAAAGAATGTGATGAGCATTGTCTTGATTTTTGATGGAACTTTTCGTACTTTTTTTGTTTGTGGTGAATTTTTTGACTTCCATTTCGCACTTTGACGCTTAGTTTCTGGATCATATTGAAAGCATCATGTTTCATCACCCGTAACAATTGATTTTAGGAAGTTTGAATTATTTTCTGCGGCTGCAACGATGTCTCTGGAATAATTGATTCTCGCTGATTTTTTTATCGCTTCTTAATGTATGTGGAACAAACTTCGCACAAATCTTCGTTTTACCCAAATCTTCATGTAATATGGTTCGAATCGTTTCTCTACTGATATTTAAAGCCTCCTCCATCATTTTTAGTGATGCATTGCAATTGTTTGCAACAAAATCACGTACTTTTTCGATCATTTCGGGTGTTCGAACTAAAATTGGCCGTCCTGATTTTTTATCATCTTCAAGAGTCTCTCTGCCTTCCAAAAAACGCTTATGCCTCTCAAAAACAGCTGTACGACCTAGACATTGACTGCCGTAAACTTGTTGCATCGATCGGAATGTTTCTGATGCACTTTTATCAAGTTTTGCGTTAAATTTAATCACTGCTCTTTGTTCCATGTTAAAATTTCTACCTCGACCAAAATCTTGTTTAACATGAACTGTCATATCTTCGTTATATGTCAACCAAAATGAATGAAACTTTGACAGATGATAACAAAATGTTCAACCTTTAAAATGCATGTTTGAACACACAGATGTCGTCACTGGTTGCTGAAATGTGGTTCGTATCCGGGAACATATTTGTCGCACTGTGTATCTACATAAAAAAGTTGCATTTTCCTAAAAAATAAAATTCTTGTTTTATTACAATTTAAGAAAAAAGTTTAAAGCAAAAAAGTGTCTATAAAAAAGTATTTCTATCAATATATATTATTATATTAAGAGTATTATTTTCAAATTAATCAAATAAATAATGTTTGAAATATTGGAGCCACCGTTTCTAAAAATAATGTTTTGAGAGAAGTGCATTCAATGTCTTAAGAGATAAAAATTTTGCAATATTTATGATTTACTTACTATTTATCTGTACCAATTTCAATTTTATAATTTTAGTAAAAAAAATCAAATAATAAAAAACAGTTTTTAATGTTCTTTAAAAACGTTTTTTAAAGTTTTTTAATTTCTTAAATGTTTTGCACTTTAATCACAATAGGTATACAGTTTATTTTGATATAAAAAATTCCTGCTTTCAATTATTTTAGGTGTAACAACAATGCTCAACTTTTTCACCACGTCAAATGGCTTCCGGGGAACGCTGCCTGTTGTTTCAAACTTGACTGCCATGAACGTATGGGACGGGGTATGCATGTGTTTCATCTACGCGAGTCTTCTCGAGTTCGTCTGCGTAAATTATGTCGGTCGCAAACGGCCGATGCACAACGTTGTTTATCGTCCGGGCGAGAATCCCGTTACCCAGGTACTTTGCTGATTGATGTATTTTGAATCATTTTATTCGTTACATATGTATGACGCATAAGTTGCATTTTTATATCATAGATATTCAGATGCGATACGAATTTGAATGAAGTTATATACTGTCTTTTTCGCTGTAATTAACGCAAAATGATATAACTTGACATAAATTATTATAAATCATTTTTAGACAAATATATTTGGGATCGATTTAAAAGTCAATTATCGATTATAATAAAATGATCCGTAACCTGCCTCTCTCTCCTTCCCTCCCTCCTCCCTCCCTCTCTCCGTCCCGCCTCCTCATATCTCCCTCCCCATCTCTTCCCCTCTCCCCCATCATCTCCCTCCTACTCCCTTTTTCCTTCCATCCCTTCTCCTCTCCCTCTCTCTCCCCCTCCTCCCTCCCCAAAGAGAGGGGGAGGTGTAAATCTTTCAGATTATTATTATATATTCATCTAAAATTATATATGCGCACACATATACATATTACATACAGTGCAAATTAATTATATTTATGGTACATATATATATATATCAGATATAGATATATCAGAACATTAAAATATTTTAAATCGATCCTTATAATGAACAATTAATTTTTTTTACTAGATAAACAAATTAAATTGTATTTTACAAAAAAATTATTAATCTTCCTTTGCTAGTATTAACAAGTGAATGAAAATATTAATCATTTTTTTCAGAATATAAATGCATTCGTGCAAATAAATTAATTTAGAAAGACATTAGCTAATGTCTATAAGTTATAGATTGCGCCACAAACTTTTATATAAAACATAATGCATAGGCATAAGAAAATCAACCAATCAAAGTTTTTCTTTTTCGTGAAATGGGAGGAAAGAAAAAAGTCTGATTGGTTGATTCTCTTATGTGTATTATGCGTTATGCAAAAGTGCGTTATGCGGCTTTATGATTTTGTGATAAGAAAATAGATGAGTATCACGCAATAATATTACTGATGTTAGATAAGATTAATCAATATTGACAATATGATCTTGATGAAAGGGACAATCTTTTCTTCAAATGAGAAGAGAACAAGCTCTATAAATTTCATTTAAAGTTCTAATATAAATTCCACAAGACTTTATATTAAATTTAAAACTAGAGTTTTGCGCAATCATCTCTCTATTTTCATCGAAGATATAATTCGCAAGAAGATTGCGATGAGAAAATGATGATTTCATATCTCGAAAATAGAATGAGATATATGCCAGGTTAACATACATATTAGATATTGGAATCTTATTCATCATATGACTGATTTTTAATATTGTCTTATTCATCGCAAATGCATAAAAATTACGATCACAGATTATATTTATATGAACACAATAAAAAATACTGTAAATTCTGTAAATTCCCAAATTCATCATGCTTAAAATTATTATCGAATCAATGATTATTATCAAATTATTTATACAAAAATCATTCATTCATGCCATGGTGCATTCTAAGTTCATCAGAAATAGATTTTTCGTGAAGTTCGATTGTTTATTGCGCTGTTTGTTCTTTTATTGCGTTCTTTTATTTACATTTTGCACACAAAAATTTGTGATGTGACTTTGCACAAATACAACATATATATTTTTTTCTTTGCAGCTTTCTCAAGATTTCTTCATTTATATAATTCTTTTATTTGTATTTTTTCCAGAGAGTGTGAGTGTATTTTCTTGAGTTTCAATCAATACTTCTCATAAGCTACGAAAGAATCGCGCGGATTGTGCCCACTGAAACATATTACTACTGGAATAAACGCTAGCGCTAGTTCCGACAGAGAATGTTTCAAATAGTTTTTTTGTCTTTTTCTAACTTATGCTTAGTTACGACTGCATATGGATAGTACCGTGTACTACACATGCGCAATTAAAATTGAGTATAAGTTAGAAAAGGACAAAGATACCTTGGGACGCTCTCCCTCGGATCATTCTTAACATAAGACTGCGCTTGTCTTAATAGTATTTCAGTATTATATTTTAGTGATTGTATCGCATCTTTATCGTTAACAATCAATCAATCAGTCTTCAAGGTACATTTGATAATATATATCATATCGACACTCGTGTTCAGGTGTTCAGTTACATAACTATTAATACGGAAATACTTGTATTTAATACACGATCATTTAAAAGAATTACTTTAAAAAGATAGAAAGAAGATGACTTACCCATAGTTAAATAGAATAGTTCAGCATGCTGTAAGTTTAAACAACATACCCGATAAAAATTTTTTATGCATAAATATATTATATATAAATATACATAAATATTCATAAACATGTATAATCATATATGAAATACATGTTCATATATCCCTCTTTCTTTTGAAAAGTAATTTTACAAAAGAAAGAGAGGAATGTATAAATCTATGTATGGACCTATTTCGTATATGATTATACATGTTTATAAATATTTATATATGTTTATACATGTTTATAAATATTTATCAGTGAAAAATGTAAAAAAGTCTATCAGAATCTACGTCAGCTGTTCGGATGCACAGAAAATTCTTTATTTTCGTGTGAATGTAACAAAACGAATAAAATAAACGTTTCAACCCTTCAATTCGGATCCTTATCAATATAAAATATAAATCGAAATTACGTAAATAACGCAAATTTCATGTTGATTCCCGACAATTTAGTTCGTTCTTCTTTATCCAAATGCCAAATTAGCTATATAATGAATAGCCCAATGATTATCAAAAATATTAACTTACACAATAATAATATAAAAACTTACATAAAGTAAAACCGAAGTAATATACATTGCGTCACTAACAAGTAAACGAAGGTGTCACTCATCGTTTTTAATGAAACTTTGCACATTTGTAGAACTTTGAAAAAAGTTGACACGTATTTTTTTTTATCGGCTATGGTCCACTCCGAAGAGTGAAAACTACCCCTTAAAGATATAAGCGATAGGTTTAACATATTAGGTGAAATAAGTTGAAAATTTTAAAAAGTAAAATATATTGGGGGATTTTTGGTGTCGCTGAAATTAAATCTTATGTCAAAAATATGAAATTCAAAATGGCTGACACAATATAGCGTCCAAATACATCAAAATTTTTATTATTTTTTATCAAAATGAGTAAATTTTAAGAATTCTTGTCATCACAAAATTCAAATTTCCGATTTTTGGGTCGATGATTTTAAATATAGTGTTAAAGATATTAAAATTTAAAATGGCGCTCAAGAAGACTCACTACCCCGAAAGATGAGAGGCAAGGGGACTCACTGGAAAAAAACACCCCGAAAGATGAGAATCTTGTATTAACACATTTTTTATGCAAAAATTATAAATTTTAATGTATATAGCTGCCAAATTGAGACCGCCATTTTAAATTTTAATATCTTTAACACTATATTTAAAATCATCGACTCAAAAATCGGAAATTTGAATTCTGTTACAAAAATTTTTAAAATTTACTCATTTTGATAAAAAATAATAAAAATTTTGATGTATCCGGACGCTATATTGTGTCAGCCATTTTGAATTTCATACTTTTGACATAAGATATATATACTTAGTTTCAGCGACCCCAAAAATCCCCTAATATATTTTACTTTTTAAAATTTTCAACCTATTATTTCACCTAATATGTTAAATCTATTCCTTATATCTTTAGTTCTCACTCTTCACAGTGGACTATGGCCGATAAAAAAATACGTGTCAAATTTTTTTCAAAGTTTTACAAATATGCAAAGTTTCATTAAAAACGGTGAGTGACATCTTCGTTTACTTGTTAGTGACGCAATGTATATGACTTCGGTTTTACTTTATGTAAGTTTTTATATTATTTATTGTATAAGTTAATATTTTTAATAATCATTGGGCTATTCATTACATAGCTAATTTGACATTTGGATAAAGAAGAATGAACTAAATTGTTGGGAATCATCAACTTGGAATTTGCATTACTTATGTAATTTCGATTTATATTTTATATTGATAAGAACCCGAATTGAAAAGTCGGAATGTTTATTTTATTTGTTTTGTTACATTCACATGAAAATAAAGAATTTTTTGTACATCCAAACAACTGTAGGCTCTGATGGGCTTTTTTACATTTTTCACTGATAAATTCTTTCGAGCCTCATTTTATATATTTGTTTATAAATATTTATGTATGTTTATACATATTTATATATATTCATGCAAAATTTTTTACCGGACACTGGCATAAATAGCGCGCTATTCCTTCGAAAGTGCTTATTATTTTCGAAAGGAGCTGCAATATGCATGTCTCTATCATTAAATTCTTATTTCAGTCGATTATGTCCCTTTCTCCCTTCGTCTCATCCTCTTTTTTTCCTCCATTTCTTTTCCTCCATTTCTTTTTCTCCATTTCTTTTTCTCCTTCTTTCTCTCTTCCCTTTCTTTTTCTTTCTCTCTCTCTTCTTTTCTACAAACATGTAATATTATTTAATATTAAGTAATATTTTATATATTTAAGTGCATTCTCTTAAAATACTAAATGTAATATTTTAATATCACAATATATAATAAATGTAATATTATATATATATATATATATATATATATACAGGGTTGGCCATATTCGACGGAAATATGTTTTTTTTTTCAATCATGGGAAAAAACACATTTTTTGCTGTTCATTTTAAAAATCATTTAATAGGGTTCAAGGATCTTTCCGTCGAATATGGCCAACCCTGTATATAGGGTGTCCAAAAAGACCCCGGATTTAGGAGCTGAACATAAAGGTGACTATAACTATATTTATCGTAAAGGAATGTAAATTATACTTGTATCGACATGCATAGTACGCAAAATATAATCCATTGACCTATGATTCACGTTCTCTTCTATGATTGAATTACGGCCATTCTTGTGCTATAAGACCATTACAAAACGTTTCAGACAAAAGTTGTAAGGTTTCAAAGAAACTGTTTACTGATATTCAATTTTTTTTCTTTTATTAAAAAATAATGATATTTAATGTTATTATAATATTATACGAATA